GTCCACCCTCTGCCGTGTGCCGCCTCCGTGTGGGTGCGCGCTGGCATTGGGGTGCTGACATTTCCCAAGCGTTCTTGCTGCTGGTGGGCTGGGCCAGAGGGATGGTGGGAGCTACCTGGGGGGCGGGAGGAGCAGGGGAGCTCCTTGCTCTGTCCTGGGCGTGCACCTGGGAACGCTCCCCCGACCCCCTGAAACCCCACATCGGTGGGAGCCGATCGGGAGGGCGCCTCGACGCTGGCTGGGTGAGCAGGCGGCCCCTGATCCAGGCACTTGACACGGCGTGAACCCCTCGACATGGTGGTTCAGGGGCCTTGCCAGCCCTCTCCAGGGGCTGGGTGATGACAGTGATTGGCACCTCAGGGGTTCAGCCCCTGTGGCTACCGCTGATGCAGGTAGGTGGGAACACGGTGCCCGGCCCCCGCCCCAGCAACCTGGCAGGGAACGGCCCCCCGCAGTGAGCCCCTGGCTCATAAGGGTCCCCCGGTGGGGCCTCCGGGTTCTTTCCACACAGCGGCGAGGGACACTTACCTGATGCCCACTCGCGCTCACAAGGCCCTAAGGAGCTGCGATGGCCCCGTGGGCCACAGTTTCCTCATCTGCAACGTAAGAGTCACCCCACTGCGGTGGGAGACCCCCAGCAGGGAGGCTGCAGGCAGTTCCTCTGACGTCCACAGGGCGGCGCCACACACAAGGGCTTGCAGGCCCCAGCCCTCCAGGTCAGCCCGTGCCGCTGGCCCCAGGCCCTGGCCCACAGCGTCCCTCCTGCCAGTGGCTGGTGACAGCTTTGCGGCAGTGAAGGCCACCATCAACATGCGGCTGCACTGTGACAGGCGTCCCCTGCCGAGCCCCGGCCGCGGGCTTCCGCGGTCGCCTAGCAGGGCGTGGAGGCTCTGGGAGGGCGAGCAGGAAGGGGCGGCAGAGCCCGCAGTGTGGTCACTCGCAGTCAGCTGAGCTTTCATGCGGCCTTCCCGCAGACAAGTTCTGCTTGCTGTCCCTGTCCAGTGTCCAGTGTCCTCCGGTTAGGCCCGAGGCAGGCTGGGCTGGGTCCCTCGGAGGCCCGCCGGGTGGGGGTGGCTCAGCCGCGAGTGGCAGGGCGGGGACTTGAATCCAGTCTTTGTGGGCCACGCCGGACGCCCTGAGTGCTGGACAGAGGGCGGGAGCCCGCCCGCCCCTTGCAGTGGCCACCCTGCCGGTGTCCTGGGGTGACCGAATGTGAGCAACTCCTCGTGCGTGGCTAGGAGGTGGCACTGGCCCTTTGGGGTCACGAGGCCCAGAGAAGAGGCGTCTCCAGTCTCCAGCCCAGGCAGAGCTGGAGGCCGGGGCCCGAGACCCCGAGAAGAGGGGCGGTGGGGAGGATGGCTGGGCTGGGGGTCGCGGCACCCCTTCCTTCCCCAGCCCAGGGCTTTCGCACGGACTCGTGGGGGATCTGCCAGGCCTCAGCGTGCACCCCAGTGCCTTCTGGAGGCCTCGGGACTTGGGGGCCTCCCCTCCCGCCCTCAAGTACCGGACTCCTGTCGCCGGGCTCAGGCTGCCGCCCTTCCAGCCTCCTGGCCGGGCTCCTGGCCTGTGCGGGCTGCCCACTGGAGCGGCGGGGGTGGGGGGGCAGCCCGCACGCCGGGCCTGGGAGGTGGGCAGGCGGGCCTCTGCTCGCTGTCCCCGGGCCTGTGGATTACATGGAAGTCAACCGAGCCATCTGGTCTTGGTGCCAAAGCCAGGACCTCTCAGAGGCCTTTGCCGCCGGGGTGGGGCCGGGGTGAGGCCAGGAGGGTTTCTGTCTCCAAAACTGCAGCGAGGAGGGGCGGTGGGGAGGGTGGCTGGGCTGGGGGTCGCGGCACCCCTTCCTTCCCCAGAGCGTTGCCTGTGCATAGCCTTGGTAGGAGACGCCCACCCGCCGCTCAGAGGGCCTGGTACACCCGATTTCGGAGCCGGGTGGTGGGAAGACGCCTCCTGCTCCCCCGAAGAGGTGTGGCCAGGGCAGGAGGCGGTGGGCGTCTGAGGCTCTTCTGGGCCATCTGGGCTCTGCCCCAACCCAGGCGCTGGGGGGCGAGGAGGAGGAGGGGGGCCGCCCCCAGGGCTGCTGGGGCCAGGCCTTGGCCTCCGTGCCTGGGCTCCTCACTGCAGATTGGGCTGCGAGTCCGTCACTGTGAGCGTTGGGAGGATAGACAGCTGAGGCTCTGAGAAGCTGCATCCGAGGGGTCTGGCGTCCTGAGGGGCTGTGGCCGAGGCCGGCACCAGGGCCGGGCAGCGGGTGGGAGTGCTGTGTCCTGGCACCTTCCTCAGCCAGGCGCCAACACGCTCCAGTG